TTTCATTATAATGATATAGAACAACAAACCAGCAAAGAAAACAGTGAAATTGATAGTGAGATTAATTACAAGAAATATTTATACAGTAGAGAACCAATTATCTGGGATGCTCGGGACCATCGCTATCCCGGATGTCTGAATTTCCCAGTTTTCTGGATCGACCAAAAAGTGTCATTAATCGATGTTTTATCGAACCCGAATTACAAGGAAATTACACAAAAATTTTTCAGAATCTGAGATTAAACTAAAAGTGCAAAATTTGGTGAGCTGAATTTTTGTAGCTGAATTTTGTAGCTGAATTTTTACTATTTTCAAATTTATATGAACATAAATCTGCACAAGAAATGTTGAAGGCTCAAATTAAAGATAAACTTGTGAATACTTTTCCTAACGTTCACATTGCATTAAGAATATATTTGTCGATTCTTGGATCAAATGCAGAATGAGAAATATCTTTCTCCAGATTAAAATTGATAACAAAAATTATTTGCGTTCAACAATGAATCAAGATCGTTTGGCATCACTCGCGCTTATGTCTACTGAATACGACATGTTGCCTAGTTTGGAATTCGACAGCATAATACAAGATTTCGTTGAATCCAAAAATCGCAAAAAAGTAATATATTAGATCATAAGATTCTGCAAAAAAATTTATTACCGAAAAATATATTTTTATTTGTATCTTCATAATTTTGTGCAAAATACACTTGTTGTTTTTAAAGCTAAATTATTCTTGTCAACAAATTTTCGTAGGCCCTAGGCACGTGCCTAGTGTGCCTATAGGTTAATCCGGCCCTGTGTAGCAATATTTGAAAATTTAAGCACTATAAAAAGAAAACATAAAAGAAGGGAGAAAAAAAAAGCTTAGATAACTTTTTGTAGATTTTTTTATTGCACGAAATATTTCACATAAAATGGCCAAATTATTTAACTGGTTTATCTATGGTTAACTTCACTAATGTCTTAAATCCAAAGATAGTTTTAAATATGCAAATCTATTTAGTAACAAATAGTTGAGAGAAGTTAAATAATTACACATTTTTTTAAATATGTGACAGGTCTTTAATGATTCAACTCTCATCATTAGCCTAGGGAACAATGTATTTAAAATTATAACTTGTTTGCTAAAAGTTAATGAAAAAATAAATTTTTATTTTGCTACAGATCCCTAACAAATAAATATAATATGTTGTTAATTTAAATTTAGTGTTTAAAATAATCCATAACTACAATTTCAATGCACATTTGAATTTTGAATAACTTAATACCAACAGTTTATATCAATTTTGTCTTTTAGGTGAGTTACTGTCTGCCATAAAATCTGACTTTAATAATCTAGAAAATTTACAAACTCTCTTGAGTGCCGCTGCAGTTAGTGTTCAAGGGTCTGGCTGGGCCTGGTTAGGATTCAATCCTACATCAAAGAAATTACAGATTGCTACATGCCCAAATCAAGATCCATTACAAGCAACAACAGGTACAAAATATTTGACAATTTATTCATGAATGTTTTATTTATTGTCATAAAGAAAGAAAAAAAGAACTTGTAGAAAACTGCACACATTTATAAAAATAGCCTTATTACTTAAGAGGACTCTATAGTGTGGGAGAAACTGTTCATGGCGAATTTTTTTACTTATGTAAGTAATTAAAATTTAAAGTGTAAAAATGTGAGTTCAGGTAAATCTGGAAAGAACAAAGTTTTAAAGGCTGCAAGATTTTTTGCAAGATATAAAAAAAATAATAATATAAAAAATATTAAAAAAAATTGAGAGAAACTTATACCTCCTCCCTGCCTCCCCAAATTTTTTTTCAAATGTTCAATTTTATATTAGACACACACATATATATATATACAGGGTGATTCTAAAAAAATGGGCAAAATTTTAGGAAGTGATAGTACACACCCAAGCAAACAATTTTTATCAAAGAATGCATGGTCGAAAACAAAACGCAAGGGTGCTGGAGCATTTGGAAAGTTGTTTGATGCAAACTTGAAAGCTCCATTCCTGTTGCGAGTTACTGCATTGCGTTACTTGTCGCCACGCTTTCGGTCGCTGCAGGGAAAGTTCGTGATATGCCTGGTGTGTTTCAGAATGTTTGCCTATCTTTTCTTTGCCGTTGTACTGCGTGCATAGCCGCTGCCGGCCACTGTTTTGAGCACTAATTGTAATCACATGCCATTAAATTTGCTTTTATAATTTAACTTCATCATTCTTTGTGTGTTTTTGCCTCAATTAAGAACATAAACTTAGACGCCCTCTAGCCGTTTTGCGTTTTGTTTTCGACCATGCATTCTTCGATAAAAATTTTTTGCTTGAGTGTGTACTATCACTTCCTAAAATTTTGCCCATCTTTTTAGAATCAACCTGTACATATATATATATACTCTAAAATACCAATGAAGGTAAGCAGAATTTGCCATGAAAAAGTTTCTACAACGGTGTATGTATAGTGTTCTCTTAATGTCATAATGAGAAATATCGGTAACTGAACAATAAACTTAATTTACTGGTATTTCTTTGGTTACATAAGTATACTATGAGTATCCGAAGAGTGATACTTTTAGTTCATTAAAAATGTTATGTAAGTGTCATGTTAAAATATGCATTAAAAACAAGCATGTATAAATTATATTTTATAATATGTGAGTTGAGAATTCATGTAAATTAGTATTAATATATTACTTTTTTTCTCCCAGGTCTAATTCCCCTATTTGGTATTGATGTTTGGGAGCATGCTTATTATTTACAGTACAAGAATGTTAGACCAGACTATGTTAAAGCTATTTGGAAAGTAGCCAATTGGAAAGATATTAGTGACAGATATTCTAAAGCCAAAAATTAAATACTGCTTGCTACAAGTTCCTTACCCAAAGTTATAGATTTTGTATTTAGTTCCATTATATAACTACATATGAATAAAGATGTATGTCAGTGTTTAAAAGTATTCTGTTAAATATGAATTTTAATGTAATATCGAAACATGTTATTTTTCTTCAATATATAGCTTATACTCTTAAAAAGTTATGTACTTATTTCATCCAACTATCTGGAGTGTGAATTAACATTTAATTAATCTTAAAAGCATTTATATGAGTCTTTTAGAACCAAAAAAATTTGTTCTTAAGAAACTGAAAAAACACCTTTGTTAATATTTACTTAAACTAGATTATTTGTTAGTATTTATAATTTTGATAAAATTATTGTATTTTTGATTTTTAAATTGTTATATCTAAAATTTTGCGGTCAAAGAATTAAATGTCTAAAAAATGAGGATTTCACAGACTAAAATTGATTGTATTTTGCAATTTAATTAAAATTCTATTAAATTTATAACATTTTATATGTTTTGTTTATTTGGCTATTTGCCAGCTGGATTGCAATATTTAATTATTCTCTATTGAGAAATCCCTTAGGAATACAAGAATTTCCTTAATAAACATGGATTGCAAACTAAGGCAAACACCGTTAAAGAGCACAAAAATATTTATAAAATACAGACAGCTGTTTCGGATGCTCAAAGGGCAACCTTCATCAGTGCAACAGTGGTCGCCCACTTGTGTATTCAAACATGGATTGGCTAGGGATGAGTTATGTCATGGGAATTGGACCAATGAATGATGGTCAGAGGTCATTCTTTTTTTTTTTTAACTCTGTAACTTGCCTATGGAGGAAAGAATCAGTCTAAATTTTTCTTCACTCTCTTATAACTGTGTCACATTCGGCAGAACGGCCTTTTCAAGCTGCTGCATTATTGAGCATAGATAAGTTTTTTTTTGTGATTTTTCTACTTTGTATTTAACCCTTGAGGTCTAGAGTAAGGATCTGCATGTGCACCTGTATCAGAGATGATTGTGCTCCGGAAAAAATCTGGATTTCCAGATTTTTCGCTGATCGCGATCAGGAAATCCAAGGTTCAGAAGTTTCAAAAAATCATCGTTCACATTTCTGTGTAAAAATTCTTGTATATTTTATTTAAAAATGTTAGAACTAGAATTTATACTCGGCATCTCCTTCATTTGTAAATATTTTATCTGGTAGAATAACAAATGTGGTTAGAGATAAAAGTATACTTATGAATAATTATTCATTAAAATTATGCTGCATATAATTTATTTAGAATTTCATGTTGTGAAAATATCAATGATTTAAATTTATGAAGACATTAAATTTTTGAAATGCATCATTAATGATTTTATTCAAGAAATTTTCAGGATTTTTGAGTTGGGCTCACAATTACCCCTGATGTATAATACAAATTTAATCATAAAACGTTAAGCATAAGAATAAGTTAAATTAATGAAAACAATTTATAATACACTGTAAGTGTATTAATACAAGAATCTTCACTAATACAAAAATGATGATAAATGCAGTAAGTGCATCACAATCAATTTTAATACACCTATTTAATAATAGTTAATTAAATAATCTAAAAAACAAAGTCTGTAATTGATAAGGAAATCGTAATTTCCGGGTATTTCTACTTTATGCAGAAATTATCTCAGGACAAAAATTTAATTAAATCTTAAAAGCTAAAAATTACTGATTAACATAATAATTTAATGTATCAGTCCTAAATAAAATTAATACAGAGAAAAATTGCAAAAACCAAAAAAAAAAAAATACTAATCTGCACTCAATAATGCATCAGTTTGAAGAGGGCCTAATGGGGACACACCTATCAGCAAGAAAAATTTTCCCTTTCTTCTCAAAGAAAGTCACCAGGTAAGAGAAAAAAAATTAAACTATGACCGTCGTTCATTGGTCCGACTGTCGTGGCAGAACTCCTTCCTAGCCATTCATTTTAAAATTCTCATATTTCTAAGGGATTTTAAAACTTTAAGAGGGAATTTACTTACACACTGTCATCCAGCTAGCAACCAGCCAAAAACAAAAATCAATAGAGAACTCAAATCACAAAAGTTGAGGAAAATAGCTAAATAAGTAAGAGCTCTTATATAGCTAATTTTTTATTTGGTTTGTCTCAAAAATTTAATGTACTGATCTACAATTTTTATATAAATTTTACTTCTCCAGACGATTGTAAAAATATCACTCTGTTCATACACAATTAGAATATTTTGTTTTGCACAAGCATCTCTTAATTCTAACTTTTTCATACATTAATCAATTTATATATTTTTACATATAATTTTTGGATGAACAAGTTATATAGCCACAATCTAGACCACCCATACTTCGAAAATCAAAAATTTAAATTTGTTGAAATTAAAGGTAGCTTCACGTTGAGAAATTTATGTTTGTTCTCAAACTTAAAACATTAGCTGCACTAATTAATTTGCATATTTACGTTGGGTCAGGCATAAGCCCAGGGAGGACCAAGACTTTCTGCTAAAAATTCACTCTAGGACAACCATTTCTTCCCTAGGCTGTATCTTCTATCCCAGCAACTTTAAAACCCGATTTTACAGAATCGAGCCATTGTTGTTTGGGATTCTCTCTTTGAAGGGTTTGACATAAGAAATTTCCCAATAGATTTTTTTTCTTTCATTCTGGCAATGTGAACCGCCCAATACATTCCTTTAACTTCATTGCCACAAATATTAAGCTCTCTTTATGCGATTCTATAAATGGATACACAATTAAAACAGCATTCTTAGTAAATGGCTATTTGATGAAAAGTTATCCAGGTTTGGATGTTTCCCTTTTTTTGTACACTGTGCAATTACTGTAGTTAATTGTATATTAGAAGTTAGTGATTATTAAATAATTTATGAGTTTTCTTTAAAAAAAAATATTTATTTAATATGGGAAATTAGGATGCTATTTATACATGTTGAAGTAAAAGGAAACTATGTAGAAAAAGAGTTCTTATAGTAGAAAAAAATAGTATTTTTATTACATAAAAAATATTTACAAGTGACTGACTTTCTTTATAACATGCAATTTATTATCACAGAAATGGCTGCCATCCAACGTATAATCGACACAGATTATTGGGGTCTCTTGCTTGTTGTATTAACAAATTTACTTGTCCTTCTGTACTCATAGCAACACCTTCTTCAAGACCTTGTAATTTTTGTTGCAGTCTCATTAAAGCTCTTTCAGCAAGAGTGTTCACTTCTGAAATAGATATACAACAAATTATAGCTATTATTTTGTATTATTTAATAAAAATTTGAAAAAATTTGGTATTGTAAGGTATACAAATTTTTAAATCATTTTAAATGGTGTAATAATCATCCATGGCAAAATACGAATAGTTCCTAAAAAATAGAATTTAAAATATCTGACTTTTTTAAAATTATGTTGCTTAAGAATTAGTTACTCAACCAATTTTGTTTAAAATATATTTATCATTAAAACCTAACTTTGAACTTTTGTTCTATTTATGATATTTTTAATATCTTCACTCCCATACTTACATGAGAAATGTGCTATTTGTGTAAAAATCCCATAATTAGTCTATAAATAACTATTTTTTATATTTAGTATGTGGAAAAATTGGAAGTGGAACACACAATTTTTTTCTCTCCAAAAATGGTTATTTTAAGGTAAGGTCTACTTGTGTTCCGGCGATGACATTTTGATGACACACCGAAATATTTCATTCAGAAAAAATTAAGTTTGAAAATACTATAAAAAAGACTGATAATGATAATTATAAAAAAAGGTTAAATATACTATTTGATGTTTCATTGAGACTGAAAGAAATAATAAACAAGTTGCATCTGAACATACTAAGGTTTACTTATAAACGTCTTTCACAAAGATATGTTTTTATACATGCTGCTTTTAAGCAAATTAATGTAAATAGATCAAGGATGATTTTTCATTAAACGTTATTGAAATCTGATGCAATAGCATGTGGAAATACTAAAACGAGATTTTTTTATAATCCATCAAGACTTTTTCAAACTCATCATGGATACATAACTGTAAAAGTGGTTTATTTCATCTGGTCTAAGAATCACATTTAATTTAAATTTTAAAAGTAAAAAAACTTGGCAATTTACGCTGAAATTATTATCCTTTCCTTCTTCTGAACTTTTTTTACCTATATTATTACTCCCAGTCCCCATAATTTCCAAATCTTATTGCTGTTACCCACGCACACAATAAGTTGAAGACCCCACTTTTAAGGTAAAAATTAAATTGTCAAACGCTATTTAGTTTCCTTACAGTATCAAAACTATCACTGCAACATCAGAGTTATTAGTTTAAAAAATCTTTCTGACAACACTCACTTTTTATTCGTTCTCCCAAAGTCACTTAGCATTATGGTCCAGAACGGCATAAAGACTTGACATTGGTTAAAAAAAAAACAGTACAGATGCCATTATGTTTCCTGATCCATGAGTAATTATTTGTTTTGTCACATATAGATTGTGAAATGTCAAAAGCAGATAATTTTTTTTGTTAGAACAGTCTTTTTGGAATTTAATTGATGAAGATTCTTTTCTTAGGAAAATACAATATTTTTTATCTATCATACTTTTGAAGAGGCATTACCACCTTTGTATAAAGACAAAATGATAAAATTTAGAGTATTAAATTGGAAAAAAAATTCAACATCATAATATGCAAAGAATATGAAAACTTCAGGGAAAGGAGTAGCAAAAAAATAATTAACTATAAAAATATGAGCATTAACAGTAAAAAAGTAGAAACACACTCATGGATTTGTGGTAGAGGCTTCTATGGATCCTTCATCCCCCTTTTTTTATTTCCTTTATCAGGTAAGAAACCATATTTTCTTTAACCATCTTGAATTTTTTCAAATGGGTGCATTTATGAAAGAGTACCTTTCTCTTTAAAATAACATGAGAAAAATCTATACTTAACTGCTAATAATGAAGGTTACAAGAATTGCTGGTGGTAAGCAAGGCTGTCAGATTGTTATGCTACTGATATTTTTAAGGTCATTAAATTTGAATTTAAAATAACTAAAACTTGAGGCACAAATGGAGGAACATAATACTCTAAACAAACAAAATAAAAATGTGCTAGCTTTGCTGTATAAAATAAACGTAAATAACTAAAGTAATATAATCTTATCTCCCTTCAGAAAACTATATGATTTTACTTTGAAAACAGTTATTAAAATTAGTGCATAAAATATTTTACCTTGATTATTTTGGCTACTGGAAGATCCATTAGATCTCTGAGAAGACTTAGATGCAGGAACAGTCCATTCATACAAAGGGTCATGCAAAAGCACCTCTAGTATAGTCAAAAGTACATCCTGAGAGTTCCTCATAACTTCTAATGTTTTTTCTGAGCATCTTACAAAAAAAAGAGCAATTATTTCTAAAATCCAATAATTTTTAGCTATAACAAGTTAAGCAATACAGTCAAGCTTTGATCTATCGTTCTGGCATTTTCCATTTTCCCATATGTATCATTCCGTTTCAATTGCTATTCTAATAATGTTAATAATACTAGTTTAGATAGTTTTTGAAATTAACAGATTCCCACATCAATCATTCAGAAATTCTACCGATATTTAAAAACAAAAATATTAAAATTTCGTTTTCAGAAAGAAAAGAAAAACAGTCCTATGATGCTTATAATAAAAAAGAAAATAAGGCTTTGCAACAGTTTGGGGTAAAAGCCTCCATCAGCACATTAGATGTTTATGCATCAGTTGATGAAAATGTTCCATCAGTTGATGGAAATGTGATGCTGTCGGTTCAAGAAATGACTACAGAAACTGAAGAAGTAAAAGAGTATTGATGAACACTGCAAACTGGAACTATGGGAAACTTTCTCTATACAAGCAAACTTCTTACAGAAAACAGCAATTTTTTACAAATGTAGAAAATTTTTATTTCCGTTATCACGGAAAGATTAAGAGAGTGTTCGCAACCAAAATTTCCTAATCTTTTAAATAAATAAATGTGCTTATTTATTTTCTGTTTGCATCTCAAAATATAGATTAATTACAATGTTTTTCAATTAAAATTTTTTATACTTATAGTAAATTTATTAATTTTCCAGTCTAAAAATTCTTTATTACTTTTCATGCATTTTCAAGTCATTATTTTATGCTGACGTTTCGTTTCTCATATCTATCATCGTTTTCTCATATCTATCGTTCACAATAAATGGTCCCTTGAAAAATAATCGATCAAAGTTCTACTGTATACAAAACAAGAATGAAAGCTTATAAATTCCAAAAAAGCATGGGGAGCAAAAGGTATAAAGTGTTTGAACAGATATCAATTGCATTTTGTACAACAATTTAATCATAAATAATCATTTTCTTTTAAGATAACCATTTAGAGAAAGAAACTTATTATACATGTACTACATTATTACATGTAAGTCAGTCATTGATAATTAAGGAATGATGATAAAAATTTTTTTTAATTTTACCTTTATGTGATACTAGTTTTGCAAAATGCTAGTTTTATATAATACTAATTTTATAGATTAAAAATATATCAATTATAATAAATTAATATAAAAAGTTCTTAAATGAAAGCAAAGGAGTAACTTTTAATATAATACCTTTTGAAAGTACCCTCCACTCCATTAATTCCCATGCCATCTACAATATCCCTTGTTAAGCGAAAAGGAACAGTTTCTGGTGTTGCCAAAATTCGTCCTTTTTCAAAAGCAATACCTATTAAAAGGATTTAATTTTTAATTTACACAATATTAAAGGTTAACATTGTAATTAAAATATTTTTCATTAAAATATAATAAAATACAGAAGAAAAACAATATTAACCGTTTGTGGTTCATCTGTCTAGTAGTACTAGACATCTTATATCAATTGAACAGGTCATATGTTCAGCTCCATTGGACAGATTTCACTAACTTACTTATAACGATTTATCTTTCAAATTGTTAAGGGAGTAGTATATTGAATTAAAATAAAACTTAAACTTTTGCAAATGCATTTTTTTACTTAATTGGAAAAGGTTAATATGAATATCTCATTATTATCCTTTTCAATACCTTCATATCATCCTTGTATATAATTCATAAACAATTATATATTTGAACAAGATTAGCAATTTTTAAATCAAATTGGACATTTAAGAAATGAATTTGAAGCATAGGATTAAACATTTTATGTAACAGAACCATATTTATTTTCTTGTAATAAATGCAGGTAATATAAAGCTGTAGAAATATAAAGGTATCTATAATATAACAATTGATTTGTAAATATAAAGAGAGTTATATAAACTTTAAACTTACCAAAATCTATATGGACAACTTCGGCTGTATTTTTATCGATTAAAATATTATTTACATGTCTATCACCAAGTCCTAATATATAGCCAACTGAAAAAAAAAAGAAATTAGTACATTAAAGATTTTTAAGCTATCACTATTCAAAAACTGTTCACATTTTATAATTAAGCATAAAAAAAACAAATAATTATATAAAGTTTAAAAAATATATAGAAATCTATTTTAATGTATCATATGATTCTGGCCTAAAAACAAATAATAATAATATTAACATTGTTGAGAACATAATCAATATAAATAAATTTTCAAAATTATATTAGAAATACTTGATAGTTAAAAAGAATTCTATACCAAAGAGAATTATATTAAGGTATTTATGAACATTGAGTGTTGAATATAAAAAAAATCTGAAATTTTGGCCTACCGATTGAACTAGCAGCAACACTTTTAGTATATGATTGACGTCGCTCAAACCAAGCTGAAGGTTCAGGAAAATTTTCAAAGAAAAAGTATCTGAAAACAGGAGGGAAACTAGCACATATTGAATCAAATATTTGTCTCTTCTTTGGCAACTGCGAAACACTTGATATGCTCTAAAAAATATCAAATAACAACTATTATTTTTGTTAAGTTTAGTAGCTCACTTATTTATTTTATTAGCAATTCCAAACAGATTAAATGCAAAGATTAAAAGATTATTTATTTTATTAGCAATGCCATAAAGATTAAAGATTAACCTAATTTTTAAGCTTATGTTGAAAAATATTTATGTCAAAATGCCACAAATTGAATTTTATTCATTAAAACTCATTGTGCTTTACATGAAAATAGATAATACTTATGAATGTTTGAAAAGTTTAAAGCAAAATTTTCATGAGGATGAAAAAATTAATTAGGAGCAAATAATTAAAATAAAAAACTATAGATAAAATGCAAGATAATTTTTTTAAACCATAAAAAAATAAATGTTAGATTAATAGTTGATATGATTAAGATGTGCATGAAGTTATAAATCTTATTCAATGTAATGATTTTTAAATGATCTTCGAATCCAAGCAATTAGATGCAAACAGAACCAGCTTTCATTCAGAAAAATTTCAAATAAAGAATTCACTTTAGTTTTCATAGACAACACAAGCTTTGATTAATTAGAGAAAAGGCTACCAAAACACACTATTTTAAAATAATATGTAAATCAACTTAAAATTTATAAATATGCTCATAAGATCTATTAAACTTAATGTTAATACATTTTGCATAACATTATTGCTAATATCTAGTCTCTCAGTAATGCCCCCTAAATGTAGATATCAATGACTTTAAAAAAGACAGAAAACAAATTTAGTTTAAGTAAATATTTTGAAACACAGTCTACTACAGGGTTGCCACTCAAATCTGAAAAAAAAATTCCCTGTGTTTTCCCTGTACATATCACACACAACATATTAAGAGGAAACAACAATTAATGAGCTCTTGCGTGAGCTATAGTGGGCTAAGTATATATATTAGTTTTAATTGCTAGAAAAACAGCTGAACATACTTAAATAATGCTATAGTAAATGAAATAGTTTAGTATAGCTGAAATATCATGGTTAAATATCCTATAGATTACGCTTTGAGTAGTCACCATTTTTTAAAATACAAAAGATAGAAACAAAATTCCCTGTATTTTCCCAGTTTGTAAAGAAAAAATCTAAATTCCCTGTATTTTCCCTGTTATTTTAGGTGATTTTTAAATTCCCTGTATTTTCCAGGTTTTCCCTGTTCTCCCTGTGGAGTGGCAACCCTGTACTATTTCAACACAAGAAAAAATTATTTATATATCAGTTATGTTGCAATATTTTTACTAATTGTATTGAATTATTACAATGTGTTCTAATCATAATTGCACTTAACAAAACATATTAGAGTGTAACCTAAGACAAAAAAAGATGCACTCCAAATAATAGTGAGATGTCACATTCTGGCTTAATTAGCTTGACTCTTAAAGAGGCAAGCTAATTAATTAACACTAACATTTTTTTAACAATTTTTTCCTGATTTCATAAATAACAGAATAACCAATAACATTTGGAAAATTGATGATTTAAATAGAAAAGAAGCCTGTTGCTGATTAAAAAGTAAAATTAAGGTCAAGAAAATGTTCAATAAAAGTTAAACTTTTGAATGGTAACAAAGTTTACTGTAAGCAAACATTAATAAAGCAAATATGAAAGTAATATGACAGGCAGAGGGACTATAGTTTAAAGAAAAAGAAAAAAACTCAGAAAGTTATTTGTAAGCAATTTATTAAGAGAATGTCTACAAACAAATACAAAATTTACAAAACATCTTGCAATAATGACATAAAAAATTTTTAAGTTTAAAATAAATATTTCAGGAAAGATTAACCAAGCTTTAATTTTATTAAATTTATGCATACAATACAAGTTAGTTATTTATATTAGAGTAAAAAGATTTTTTTTTAATTACAGTGCATTGGAAACAAGTTAGATTTGTTAATTCAAATACATACTTTTAATTCTCGTCATAAAAATTTTATCATTAAAATTTACATGCATTGGTACAAAAAAAATATAATAAAAGTTATATTTATCCTTTTTAATAAAAATAAGCACATACCTCCATTTTTTTGCGACACTCCAAGGGTGTAGCCATTGTTGGATAGTATCTTGTATGAGCACCATTGCTTCCAATCAAATACTGAGAAAGAACTTGTGTACCTTCACACCACTGCAATACACCACTTCTTCGAGAAACAGGAACTACCTAAAAAGTAAATCAGAGTTAATATGTTTTCTAAGATAATGCCACTGATTTTTAAATAAGTGCACAGTTAACAAACTAGATATCATTAGTAACTTCAAAATATTACCTGTTAAGGACCAGTGAGAAGAGAAACACAAGTTTTTCCAGGTCCGCACATTTCGAAAGTATATTTCATAAAAAGTACAATTACATACTAATTGAGATCAAGATTAAGATCATACCAAATTGAGATCAAGTCCTTAAGATTTTGGGCTGCTGGAATAAAAGGCTCCTTTCATATATGATACCGTGGACTATGAAAGGAGAGTTGCTTGATCATGTAAATGGGATCAAAGTCCTGAAGAGATTAAAATTGTCAAAATAGAGTGATACATTTTCAGCTCTATTATATAATGTAATGTGATCAAGGTCTTGAAGAGATAAAATTGTCAAAATAAAGTGATGCATTTTATGCCTTGATATCAATAGTGTATCATCGGGAATCTATAATGTTCAATAAACATTACACCACTGATTTTTAAACGAGTTCAAAGTAAATAGATATCATTTGTCATTTCAAGATTTTAAAAAGTCTCAAAATAGAGTTATACATTTTCAGCTATGATAGCAAAAGTGTATCATGTGGAATCTACATGGGCGCCCATAGGGGAGGGCCGAAGGGGCTCCCCCTTCCCTAGAAAATATATGCTTAATAAAACATATGCATATTTGATTAATCATGTATAATTAAAAGTGAAATTAATTAGTTATTCAGCTAATTAAGTAAAAAATATTTAAATAGATAAAATTTCCTTTCATTAATTTTTTAATTCATTAATTTGCCGCTTTCTTTCATAAGCCCCCCCCCCTAAATTCAAACATATGGGCGCCCCTGAGAATCTATTATGTTCATTTTTTCTTTTTTTTAAGGTTTTGTTGAATTAGTTGCCAGAACATAGGGTGATAATTTAAATTAACTTTATCAAACTCTAAATATAAAAACAACCAATATGAATAATGCCCTAATAATATAATTTAATAACTTTCACATTTCTATAACAATGCAAAATATTAATGTTTGTTAAAATTAATTAATTTGAATTTTACTGATACATAAGACAAGTTTCCTGAAAACCATATTAAAAAGATTTACTGATTCAACAATCTATCAGTTGATCTGTTATATACCTTTAATATTTTGACCTTAATACTTTGAATGCTGTTATCATATTTCATGAAAATACTTTGTTTAGTTATTTACAAGAGCTCAGTGTGGCTATATTACGCAAATTCAAGATAAGATACATATATATTCAATATATATATACTATACTATAGATATATAAGTAATATATACTCAAGAGAAGAATATTATACATATGTGTTATACTATAACCTATATGTTTGGACTGCAATCTATATATATTATGACACAAACAAATCTTAAAACACAAATAACACAAGAAGAATGATTAGCAAAACAAAAGCAAAGATTGTTGTGAAATCTTGGATTGGAAGTTGTTTTTCTGAAAAAGTTCTTAAACTTATATATACCTAACACTTTCTGAATAATTTATATTGCATTTTTTTATTAAACACTAAAAAATATTATCTGAACTATTTAATTACGTAAGATTTTTATTGAAATGTATCTTTTAAAAAAAGAAATTAATATTAGATAACAGTATAACTAAACACAACGAAGAAAAAAATTCTAGAAGAAATTAAAAACAAAAAATAGTTATATCAATAAATTATAAAACTATTTTTTCCTTATTCTTTGATAGAAAGGAAGAAAGAAAAAAAATGTATAATTACTTTATATGTTCTGATATGAAGCTTCCTTTGTTGAGTTTCCATCTTTTGTTTAAGTAAACAGTTAACCAGGAAAAATACTTGTTGCATAACAGCATCCTGGCGTAGATCATCTCGACCCTACAAAATATTAACTTCTAAACTCATATTACAAGCAAACAAATACAATTTATTACAAGATATAAAACATAAAACTGTTAACCACATTTATTTTTAGCATTGACAGCAAATTTTAATATAATGAAGAAACATAGAAAAATTGAAATTTCAAAATAAGCATGAATTATATTTCATAATCCTTACGATGAAATTTAATTCATAATTATTTGTTTCATGCTTTTATTGCACACACATCTAGTCCTTTTTTAAGGATTAATTTTTAAGAGCCATGGTTCACTAAAATAACTCTAGATGTAAGGGAATCAAGGAGCACCTATTTGCATATACAAAAAAGATCTTCAACAGGATTGAAAGGAAAAAAAATTAGGCTTCTGTTATTTAACTAGAGGTGTGAACAGTGTTCTAATTAATCTTTAAAATTGAAAAATCTATCTATACAACACTCTACTATTGAATAATATGGGAAAGCAGGTGTATAAGCAAGAAAAACCAGATTGAGGTACAGAAGAAACATGTACTAAAGGGTAAAAAATGAAGAATGTCAGTTTTGTAGAAGATACAATGCTGAGCTCCAAATATGAACTAAATGTATATAAAAAAAAGTACTCTCACAACAGCTGGTTGTTGGCCCCAGGGTCACAGAAAGTAAGCCTCCACAATTTTGAGAGGAAGTGCATGATGGTGACAAAGTGGCCAACTTGATTAAATTCAACTTGGTCAAGTTATTACATTAGTCAACAGTATCAAACCAACCATCAGTATGCCTTTCTGTCTCAGGCATATTGAAAGGCATACCAACAGTATGCCTTTTCGTCTCTGACACACTAATAATAATTGATTTAAGTTTTCAAACCACAACAGAGAAAAAGCATCAGTCTTTTAAATTGACAGCTTAGCGCCTTAACCACTGTGCAATTCTGGTTCCTCCTGATCCACTGCGAAATTGCATATTAGTTCAAGCTTATTGCAATAAATAATTTATTTAACAAAAATAAAATGCCTTTTATCAGGCTTCAAATAACAAAAGTTTAAAAAAAATTGACGAAAACACTATGATAAAGCGCGATTAATAATGGAGAATATTTTAATGAATTTACCTTAACTAATTGTTCCCTTTCTACACCATCAGTACCAATGCATTTAATCACTTTGGGTAAAGTGATACCACCACACATTCTGAATTCAGAATGAAAAGAGTGTATTCCGACAACATTTTTGTATTCACATTTTCGATCAATCTGAAACAAAAGCAAACATTTATATATGTTATTAACATTAATTAAAAATAAAGTAATTTAAATTTATTACAATGGGCATTTCAAACTCACAAGACAAAGTGTGAACAGTGATTTTGAAAACTAGACTTAAAAAGATAAAAATTTTAGTTCAGCTTACTTTTAGTTCTTCCGTAATAATTGGAATATTTTCCTGCTTTCGGAACTTAAGTATTGGTTGGTTTTGAGGAATAGTTCCTAAATGAATAAAAATATAATTATACATCAGCTTCTAATAATGCATTTCATCTAAGCATTGCATTAGAAGCAGTTTTTATTTACAAAAGGAGGAAAATTAAAGAATTGTAAGAATTTAAAGGGTGGCAGAAGGAAAAAAAAATATATTTTGCATCAAACCAGAATAAAAACTTGATAATTAAAGAAAAAATATTTTAAAATGACGAAAACTAAAACTAGGTTACATTTAACAAACATTTCATTTTCTATAGTGATGTAACAAATAGTGATGGGGCCGAATACTTACTTTTTAAAAATTTCTCTTTTGATAGTAATTTTGTAATTAAAGTAATTTTCAAACTTTTAATTAAAAATGAAATAAATATTAACAAAATTGCTTTTTTAATCTTTGTATATTTAAAAAAATTTTAATAACTTGATTTCTTTTTTGTAATAATTAAAATATCTTGATGCCAATAACAAGGCAATATGGCTTTTATAAATCTAAATAATTAACAATAGCATATTTCAGTTATAGTTATACTTGTAATTTATATGCTATTTTATTTAAAATAAGAACTCATTACTATTGTTAATATTCTTAACTTTCTTTTTTGTCAGAAAAATTATTAAAACCCAGAAAATTAAGAACTTTTTAAAAAGTTTCACTTTTGAAATCTTAATTTTGTAATTAAAAATTTTTCAAATTTTAAATTAAAAATGAAATAAATATTAAAAAATTTGCTTTTTTAAACTTTCTATATTTTAAAAAAAATTTAACAGCTTGTTTAATTTTAAATATCTTGATGCCAACAATAAGGCTTTCACAAATCTAAATAATTAATAATAGCATATTTTAACTAATTATACTTGTAATCTATATATATTATTTAAAGTAAGAACTCATTACTACTGTTCATTATTCGGCCGAATATTCGGCAAAAGGGCCGAATACCGAATAGTGGCCGAATATTCGTTACATCCCTAATTTTCAACTAAACTAAATTTGGAATAAAAATCAAACTTCATTTTAAGTTTATTTGTAGTACTTAAGTAAATTAACAAAAATGGAACATTACGTGGGAACTAGATAAAAAACATATTTAAAAGAGCACTAAAAAATACAAAATTACACAAAAATGTAATTTTCTGTATTTAAAATTCTTTAATTAAACAACCATGTATTTCTTTTTGGAAAATTTTTGAAAATATAAGCTATGATATTAGGTCAATTACATAATTTAAAAAAAATGCAATTTGTAGAACTGACTTAAAAAGATTTTTTTTTTAAGTTGAAATGTAGATAACCAACCTCTTTTGACCTTCTTGTCAACTGGGAGATATGCAAGAGATATGTAAGCATCACAAAGAGACACATAATTTTTGAGCAAGGTACTTATTTTGGACCTTTGAAGAGAAGTTAAAACCTTTTTGGCAGCATTCATTCTTTCCTAAATAAAATAATAGAATTCTTGAAAAAAAATTGGCCGTGTTAATAATAGTTAGATATCCAATAAATTTACAAGTTGCACACTATTTGTTATACCTGACATCAAAATCTGGGATATTTCTCTAAGATGATGTGATGCCATAATAGGCATTACATATTTTCCAGCTTTTAAAATTTCCTTCATTTCTTTTAATCATTCTTATTTGAATTTTAAATAAATTAAACCATTTATTTAATTTTTACTCCATTGTATAAAAAGCTAATATAAATATTTTATTATTCACCTAACAATCAATGTAACGGCTAACTTTTTATTTCAATACAAATATGAAATCACTGTCGCAACTGAATCCAACATCAAAATCTATTTTTAACTCTTTATTCCTCTTACCACAAAAATGTTTCAGTCACAGTGTTACACTAATTCTCACGATCCTTTTTGGCAATTAGCTATAGCTATATTATTTCAAATTTAATAATGATTACAGGGGTTAGCTTTGTTTTCGGCTATTTCGTCATTCGATAAATTGCGAACCATGAATCTCTTCCCATGCTTCTAACAGACCGTTGGGAACAATTCACTTGACTTTTAATTGTGAATTTATGGTGTTAGGACTGTGGGGGGAGGGGGCCTTCAGCCTGTCAGCCGTTTAATTTTTATTTTTACAGAAATTCTCGATGTTAGGAGAATGAATCTCTTGATCCCTTCGAGGGACTTTCTTTCTTTATTTCATTAATTCTAGTATGGCCATATTCTCTAAATGATAAATAAATTTTTCTCAAATGAATTCGTTTATTTTTTCTGGGATAAATATCCCTCCTTTATAACCAAAGCAAATGTATCTTAGGCCAAGAATATGCCTTCTATGCCTCAACTATACACTAAAAATGGACTAACCACCCCCATCATAGATGGTAATACTTCAGTCACGTGTAAATATGTGGAGGCTTCTGTCGCCTTTTAAAAATAAGTAGAAACACTATGTATTAAAAAAACTAATGATCTTTAATAATTAAACAAAAGATAAATTTGGTTGGTAAAATATATATAATGTAAATATTTTTTGTTGTAAAATAATGTAGGTGTTAAATAGGTAGAATAAAAAACTAGTGGCGAAACTAGACAGTAAAAAAAATTCATTCCACACACTAAAATAATTTTGAACATGGGTAGTAATTTTATTGCCCAATTAGAATTTAATTTTTCCTCTGCAGGGTGATTCTTTACTCACTTTAAAAGATAATATAATTTGTGAATTCTTTGTCATGATTTTATATTGAAAACTCAAGCAGTTAGAATTTTTTTATAAATCAGGTTTTGGGAACATCCGCTATCCTACAAGATTCATTTTTCAATTTTTATGTAAATTCAGACTCTGTAGTGCAAATTTTGGAAACAAAAGTCTCTGGTTAATACCCATAAACTTGAAAATTCTTTGGGGTTGGCTTTATTCTATGGATTAAAATTTAAAGCCACAATATCTAAATGAGAAACTTACAGTAGAATGTTAAAGAAATGAATATCACAACAAGGAAAGTAAAAAATCTCTATTTGTGTGAAAAAGAAATAGAAGAAACAGCATAACTCAAAATTATGGGGTTTAGCCTAGTACATTTTAAAATTACATTAAAAAGGGGGGGGGGGGCATGAAAGCATGAGAAACTTCAAAATGAATGACAATTCGAACATTGACAAAACACTATAAATATATTATTAAAACTAAAGAGATCTCATTCTGAGTATTATTTCTTATTCAATATTCTGACTTATCATATTTTAACCTTACGCCACTTAAACATTTTTTTAATTTTATCTATATAATATAGTTATTTTTTAATTTTATACTTCTTAAAATAATTTTAGCTATTTGTTCAAAAAGGAGGTAACTGTAATATCAAACAAATAAATTTAACAAACAAATTTAATTAAAGGATGATGAATTATGCACTACTTTATTTGACAAAAGTGTTGGCAAAGTGGCTGATATCGACGTCTGGGCGCAAATATAGTATACTAATGCGATTCGATTGCAAAATTATTAACAGTATGTAATATTTACAATTTTCATCTGGAATGCCATTTATAATTAAAATATAGTACGTAAAAGTTTTTATAATAGATTATAGTATAATCGATTATAAAAATTTCTATATGATTAAATCTGACTTCAGTTATGTTAATTCTATTTTAACAAAGCCGAAAAATAAATTGAATGTGGATCCCCATGGCGATTTAAGGCTGAAACTAACACATTTGTAGCCAAACATAGTTAATCTATCAAAGCGCCAAACACCTCCTTTCCCTTTGGTTTAAGTAAAAATTTAATTTTGTCAAAATAAAATAAAACAATTAAGAAACTTATGTTTTTTCAAATCATTTTTTATGAAGTGGGTCAATAAAAGAATTATTGGGTTTTTTTGGGGTTGATGATCAAAAAAGTTTGTCAACCCTTGATTTAACATATTTCAGGGATAAACTTAAAAGCAAAATGTTTTCTTCTTCTTTGTAACTGAAATGCTTACTTTCACAGCTGGAACTTCAGCTTGTTGCAAATACACAGTTTGCTCAGAGACTTCCTTTTTTTCAACAGGATCTTTGTCTGCATTACTCAAGGCTAATATAACTGGCAAAGCATGATGGGGATGGTCCAAAGCAATGTTCTTTATTAGCTATTTATTAATAAAAATATAAATTTCGATAATTATTTTTCCCAGATAATAAATTTACATATAAAAAAAGACAAATGGAAACATTTTTGGCACCTTATTTACGAAATATAATTTGAACCAATCTTCAATTTGTTACCAACATGGGTTTAGCAAACTCAAAGCTAATTACAATGCCTTTCTTATCCCAATAAAACTTTATTAAGACAATGGACAGTAAAGAATTTCAAAAAACGTTTTTCAAAGTTACTGGATTCCGGACCTAACAAGCATATCTGGCGGCATTGGATATTTAGCTATATCAAATATTTTTATAGTTCTATATTTCCAATATTTAATGTTCACTATACATACAGTGGCATGCAAAATTCACTGGCCAGGATATTTTTATAACATGTTTCAGCTTTTGGCTGCTTAAATAAGTAAAAAACAAATACTTCTTATTTTATTTATTATTATAACCAAATTCAAATAATATCACATTATTGCTTCTTTATTATAAGCTAATTTATTATCCTATATTGACTAGCATTTTACAATATGGTTCACTTTTTTAGTTATTTATCATAATCTACCACACTTACTAGAAACTGTTCTAAAAGAAAACTGATGAAAATAAAATTGTAAAATCATTTTGCTTCCATGCTTGATAATTCTTTTAATTATTTATGGGGCTTAGGTGTTCCTCATTTTCTACATTTAGATTTTTAAATTCAAAAATATATAATATATAAACATATAATTGAAAACCGTATTATATTTTCAATTAATAATCAGAAAGCACTTTTTTAATTTTGATATTTATTCTTTTGTTTCTTAAATATTTGTTTAAACTACTTTACACTTTCAAAGCTTTTAAAAACACTTGAGTTTAAAAAAGATATTCTTCTTTCAAACTCAGATTAGTTCGATCTTGTTAATTGACATAAAAACAGTAAATATTTTGCAAGCATATAATTTTAACTATTACAATCAAAGTAAAATCTATCATTTCACACACTTTTAAGCATTAGATTTCTATGAAGAAGTGTAATTCAAATGTAACTAAGTACATTGACATATTTTTAATACCGTATTACAATACCATTAATGTACTTTTGCCATAAACTGAGTTAAGTCAATGTCTAACTCTAATTTTTAAATTAAAGTTATGACACTTGACTCTCGTTGCCCCAATAACAAATAATATTAATAAATAAACTTTGCACGATGGATAGTCCAAAAACAAGTTTCCCTTCTAATTTTCCTGGGGAAATAGTGCAATAAAAGAGTAAACAAAACAGTAGTTGAATATGAAAGACTATCATAAATTATCGGGCACCGCTTGACTAGACCAAGCAGGTGGCACTGTCGCAGTGTCTGCGCTAAGTGGATGCGAGACCCGTAGTCTTGAAGTTTTGTTGCTCGACTTTAAAGAGGCTGAAGCTACCATGTAAGAATATAAATTTGAGGTTGTTGACATTTACTTAGGTTCCATAATCAACAACAAAAACAATATTACAATGGAAATACAAAGGAGAACTACTATAGACAAATAGATGTTTTAATGGAATTCAAAAATACATAAAACCTTATGTAATTCATAGAAAAACGATTGATCTTAAAAGAGATTTATTATATAAATCTCTTTTAAAATCAATTTAAGAAATGCTTGTGAAACTTGGACCATATCTGTGTATGGATGTGGTTATGTTGAATACCTTTGAGAGAAAGATCTTGAGAAGAATTTTTGGATGAATTTTTTAAAAAAAAATGGTGTGCGGCTTAGAAGAATAAATTTAGAGCTTTAACACTCATATAATGAACCTGACATCATTAATTTCATTAAACGACAAAGAATAAAATGGGCAGGCCATGTTATCAGAATGAATGAAGATCGTACCACAAAAAGAGTTTTCAATGCCTGACCAGTTGGCACACGAAAAAGAGGCCGGCCAAATTTGAGATGGATAGATGGCCTAGAAAAAGACCGTTTGGCCTTAAAAACTGGAAAACGCTAGCAGGAAAACGGTTAGCTTGGAAAAAATTTCTTCAGAAGGCCGAGGCCCACCCTGGGGTGTCAAGCCGCTGATGAATGAAAGAATGAATGAAGCCATCCATGTTAAAGGGCACTGTTACACCTTGAGGAAATTGAAAGAGGTTATTCACAAAAAAACTGACAGTTCTTCTCACTTCTGCTGTTAGATGACAATGATAGACTATACTCACTCCGCGACGGCAATGTAAAAACCATAATGCAACTCATGGTTGGGAGCACCTTGACCATCAATCATATATTCCTAACCTTGCACCCAGGTACTTCCGTCTATTTCCAGCTTTGAAGAAAAATCTCAGCCAAAGTCACAAAGTAAAGCTTTGTCTGCATGCAGAGCCCACAAGGGCTTTTTGAAACTTATAGACAAGTATTACAAGTATTCTTACTACTTTAGTTTCTATGGATTATTTATTTAAGTGCTACAAATGTCTCAACAAACTAAGTAATTAAGTGGAAAATAAAGTGTATTTCTTTATCATTATATTTTTAGTCTTCCAAAACACCTCTGTCCACAATCACCAGGGGAAACTTATTTTTACTCCCCCCCCCCTTATATAATTAAGAATGTAACTATCAATCAATAGAATTCATGATATACCTGAGTCAAAGTATTTTGAAAAATGCCTGATGATTGAGTACCCATCCTAGCGGCAAGTTGATACATGAGAGGAAGAAACTTATACGTCTCTAAATTATAAATATTTTGCTGAAAAATAAAGCATATAAATAAAAATATTAATGAATTTAATAAATCATAAAATGAAATATATAAACATCTTTCAAAATATATATATATAAATATCAAATTTTTTCAATTCAGTAAATACAGTAATAATATTTTTCACGACTTATAAATTATGTTAACATGATAATGTGATTAACCTTTAATGATAGATAGCTGCATCAGAGCAATATAAAAACACAAGTGATGTACGTATTTTACTAGCTGGTATTTTTTCAATCCATAATATCAAACAATAATCATTTTGATAATTATTAAATAATGAATATCATATTAAAAAAATAATTGATAAAAATTAATAACTAATTAAATAATGCTAAACACAGAAAAATTGCAGCTACAAAATTGATTACGAGTTTTACATAAAAGCCAATAAAAAAATTTACGAAAAATTTAAGTACTAGGGCAGTGGTTTACAAACTTTTCACAGACACAATATTTTTTTTTAATTAGGATTTTTTACCAACTCTAAAATCTAAGAAAAAGTATAACTGATTATAAATAGGATACAAAACAATTGAAACTCTTGTAATTAAATACAAGTGTTAAATTAATAAAGTTCATTAATTTATTTGATATTAATTTCATAGTTATAGTTTAGACAAAGTAGGTATTTTGGGAGCCATAACACTAGGATAAATTATACTATTAAACAGTCTTGATATTTAAGTGTCGATTTTAACAGATTTGCTTAATTATTTTTATCTAGAAATAGGGATTACACTAGGCTCAATTTGAGTTATTTTCAATTAAAATATCAAAATAGAGTAGTGTAATTTCTGACTTTTCATTCCCAAGACAGGTTTAAAATTTGAAAGGCACATTTAGAGAGAAAAAAATTAAGCATCAGAAATATGATTAATTTGGGCTTAAATCAGTTTTTTTTCAACTGCTTTTAAGTTTGGCTTTAAAAGTTATATAACAAAAAAATTAAGTCTAACTAAATTGTAAAAAATTTATTTTCCTTATTATAAGACCTAATGTTCTTTAATTACAGTTTAGAGTCAATGGCCATTGCAGCCCTTGTCTTAAGTTCAATACAACTTCTTTTTTTTAACTTTTGTGCTAGATTTTTTTAATGTGTAGTGAGCAATTCAGATTTTTCAAACACTAGACAATTTCATTAAAGTGAATTTAGATTTGTAAACATAAGAAACTAAACAAAAGCTTCTGAAGCAAGAATTTCAACTATATATGCAAAAGAAATTAACAGTTTTTCTTTTCTAATAAAAATATATATTTGAGTGTAAATGTATAAAACAATTTTCCTTAATCAGTATAAAATATTTGAATAAAAACAAATCTGTTATTGCAAAATAATTAATTAATTTTTAAAATGTCTAGTAATCACCTAAAATATTGTATATCCTCAGCGAGTTTTTAAATCTGGAAACAGCTTGAAATGCGTGTTTACGAAAACGAACACAATGCAAAATGCATGTTTACGGAAATTAATATTGCTAGTTACAAAAATAGAAATACCATTTGATTTTGTTTGTCAAACTTCTTTTAGAAGTATTTTTTCTTTCTTAAAATAATAAACTACTGAATATAAATAAATGTGTAATGTGATATCGTCAATTTGGACAAATCACTTGTAATATTTGACTAATATAGCCTTTTACTGAAAAGACTTTAAAGTCAAAAATTGTTTTTACATTCCCACAAGAGTCCATTGGGAGCCAGGGGTCATGGAAGTTAAGGCTTCATAATTTCTTGACCAATGGTTAAACAATTTGTTTTTAAATTCAACTCAAAAGGCGTTTTTTGCTGTGTCCTTTTCGTAAACACACATTTTGAACTATGTCCAGATTTTAAAACTTACCGACGATATAAAATTCACTATTAATCATTATTTATAAGCCTTTTAAAAAGTTTCAATTGTTTTTATAAATTGAACCTGTTAAAATAATTATAAAAACAGCATTAAATAAATGTATTTTTAAATGCTATTTTTAAACTATTTTATATTTAAATAAAACTTTTAAACTAACATACTTTTATAATTTGATTAATATAATCAGATTCTATGTTTTGAAACCAAAGAGAAATCAAACGAAAGATCCACAGGTCATGTTTTTCAGAACCTTTCAAACACTTCAAATAATGTATTACAGCTTTCTCTAGAAAGCTCTTTTTATCCATCTCCATGCTTTTCATCTCAGTTTGATCTATCTCATTTTGTCTGAGAAATATTAATTGCAATTTGCGTTGGCTGAAATAAAAAAATTAAAGGTTACAAATTATTAACTAAACAGTTTAAACAGAAAATAAATGATAAACCAATAAATAGAATAAAAAATTTTAATTTTTTTTTCATATACATAATTTAATAGAAATGAAAAACGATAAAACGATTGATAGACTTGTATGTAGAAAAGAACAAAACATGCAAAAAATAGCATTAAATCTTAATGCAAGAATGGATCAAATACGTAATGATACAGTGGACACTACAAAAATAAATTTTACAAAATTGCAATGAGTAATTTTCATTTTTATGAAATAAGAAGTTTCTACTAGTCTCCCTCTTTAAAATAGCACCATAAACTTTGTTTACCTTTTTAAAGTGAAGCTCTAAATTTAAGTTGTATATTCTTTTAAAGTTATAAAACACACTTAAAAAATGTAATTTAAAAATTTTGACCATAAAACTTTGATTTTTATGACATAAATAATTAACTATGTTGCACTTTAAAACAAATTATTTTTACTCTGGTGAAAATGTGAAGGGATCGTAATGACATAATGGACATTTAGTCAATTGTGGAACTTTAATTTTAATGAGATAAATAGTTTCTTGTCATGCTACAATAAGACCGTTAAAATTATGAGACATTTTTAAAGAAACAACTTACTCTTCAGTATTTTCACTTAATCTTAATTCTTTAGCTTTTTCTTTTGATGAAATCATCAACTCCTGTTTCGTTTGATATGCCGTTGACTTTTGATAATTAATAATACTTTGATACTGAGCATCAGAGAAACGAGCAACTGCTAAGTATGCATCACATAAAGTGGAATTATATTTGTCACTTTTATTAGTCACCTCCTGAAGTACATCAACAGCCTATAAGTAAAACAGAAACAAAATAATTCAATTAAGCATTTAACTACTATCAATATTTAACAACAAAAGTAAATTAAAGTAAATAAAAAATCCACAACTATTTTTTAAAACAAAACTTACACAAATTTACGTGTCTAAAATTAGAAAAATATAAAACCAACATAATGGCAAATTAAATAAAACATAATTTAATGTTGAGAGAAAATGTAACTAACTTTTTTCGACGAATTGAGATCTCTGACCTCTAAAGTATAGGGGGTAGCCGCAATCTGGGTAATATGGTCCCCATTGTTTGATCAGGAGAGAGGTCCAAAGTTTGAACCTCTTAATGTTAATTTCACTTTCTGCATATTTCGCCATAAATCGAGAACTTTTTAAACGAATTGAAAACATTTTGCATGCAATTATAAAATTTGTTCATCCACAAAGACACTTTCCACACTTATTTCTAGAAATTCTCGATAGGTCTTTAGATACAGTAGGGAATTGATTATCCGGAACGATCGGGATCATCGCTATTCCTGATAACTGATTTTTCCAGTTTTCTGAATCGCTACAAAAAGCCGTTTTTTTACTGTTCAGCACAACTAAAAAAAATTTTTTTTAAATAATCTGAAAAAGAAAAAACGATGAAGTAATACACTAATGATTATTTCCAAAATGATGGTAAGGTAAACAACTTCTTTCAAAATAGAAAGAAAAATCCTATGAGGAAAAAAAATAAATTTTTTTTTAGAAAATGGCGGGAAAATTTATCGAATTTCGTTCCGGTTTTCTGATTCCCGGATAACGGGTTCTGTACTGTATTTAGAAATAATTTATTAGTTTCATGGGTAGTCAAATCCATGTCTTTAGCTACTGTCTCAACAACAAATGCTTCAATAACCATCTGTTTTATTCTGTTAAATGATGAAAATGGATCATAACCTTAAATAGGTCTTTAAAATATGAAACAAAAACTATACTTTACTTTTTCTAAATAATCTCTCATAATAACAGAGGAATTTTCGCAGCAAGTTTCAGCTAACCATCTTCCTCGTAAGGTTAGAGCTTCACCATAGCTCATAACAAAACCAGAATTTTCCTTGGCAAACTGCAAGATGAAATACTATTAAATACTTTATTAACAACAGCATATAAGTTAGCTACAAAACCTGCTAAACGCTTTTTTGACGAAACAAAAATATATAATAATAAAATACATTACAAATAATGCTTGTTAACAAACTGCTTTAAAGATTAAACAAACGTAAAGACATTAAGACAAATTTAAAAGATGATCATATTAAATCCGAACAAAAATTTTAAACAATAATTTTACCTTAGTTATTTCCAAAAAGCAGTAACCAAATTTTGCATCTTTAGTTACAAACAAATATAAGCAGGAACTGTTATAATTGAACAATTATAATAGTTTTCAAGGTAGGTATTTTAAACAAAATAAATAGGTGAAAATTGAGCCTTGACTCAATACAAATGTAAATTAAATATAAGTAAATCATAATAAACATTCATGATCAAAAAATATGTAATTACTTTGCTTTTTAGTTTTGTTGCTTTAAAGATTTGCTTATTAATGGAAAATAAGGTTATTCTATGTTTTCAAAAAAAGACATTTTAAAGCACAGGCCATCAGAACACTTCAAGATTATGGAAACCAGATTAATCTAAGGTGAAATGTTCGAGAAAAAATTAATGCTTCAAATCAATGATTGAATTTAAAAAAACTTGCAAGTCACCACAGTTTAAGGCAAAGAAGTCAAGCAAAAGAATCGTATTAGTAAAACAGCATTCAAGACACAGCACATTTTGGGCCAGGAGACTCATTAAGATTAAGGCATCACAATTTTGTAACTAATGGCAACATTGCCCACAGATTGCCTTTACTTTCCAGACAAGCTGGATTGATCAAATGCTATGTAAGCTCCAAGATAATGACAATTTAATGCCTTTAACCGTTTGAGCTCTCGCAGCCCATAAACAACCTTAAAATATAGAAAGTAAAAGAAAATTTATTAGTTAAATAAATAAAAATAAGCTGTGGAATAAAANAGATTGCCTTTACTTTCCAGACAAGCTGGATTGATCAAATGCTATGTAAGCTCCAAGATAATGACAATTTAATGCCTTTAACCGTTTGAGCTCTCGCAGCCCATAAACAACCTTAAAATATAGAAAGCAAATGAAATTTTAATGAGTAAAATGAAATAAAAATTTATTAGTTAAATAAATAAAAATAAGCTGTGGAATAAAAAAAAATTGCTCAAGTTTTTAACTACAATTAAAAATTTGATAAATAAGAAATTTATTAAAAAAATAATAAGATACACTGATATAAGCTTAAGCTTAGAAGCAAATAATTTTGGGTTAAGAAAAATTTTGAACTGTTAAAAGTTTCAGAACTAGAAAAAACATAATTTATAAAAAAGTTTTTTTTAAAAACCTGAATTTTTTTTCAACAAATTTAATTTTTTAAAAATTAAATCATTAATAAAATACCTTTTCCATATATTTCAATGAAGATTTTAAAATTTTGTTGGCAATACTATATTCTTTTTTAGTCCAAACAGTTTTTGCGTCTTCTACCTGCCACTGCAAAATTTCTTCCTCGTCTGATCCAGGAAGACATCTAAGCATATTGATAGCTTTTGCAGCAACCTGCAAGACAAAGTGAAATATTGAAACTTTGACTATGGAATAGCAATTTAAAACGAAAAAATATAAGATCATTTAAGACATAGTAAAAGACATCAAAGACATAGTAAAAGACTCAATAATATTCTAAAGCTTTAAAAAACTACTATTTTACTTCAAGATTTATGATTAATAAAATTATGATAAAATTATTAGATTTATGATTAGTAAATAATAATTTTCTTATTAAATACTTAATAAAAATAACACTTTAAGAATTCAAAATCAAAATTTAAATTTTCAAGAGCATGTAATTTAAACATACTTCGAGATGACGTTCTTCACGAGCTCTGACTACATAACCATCTAAAAGAGACTTGAGTTCCGATATTATAATATTTCTACCTTGCAACTGTTTATCTAAGTTTACATCCACAAGGTGTTTCAAAAGTATGCATTTCAACCAGGAAACAGGTTCCACAAATTCAAAATAATCATATGGCATGCTATCTTGTAAAGACCAAATTTTAAGAAGGTTCTTCAAAGAATCAACACTAAAAAGAAAAAATATATAATTGAGAAGTATGTTTTCATTTGACATAAAATTATTTTAGTTAATCTTTCAAGAATCAGAAGAGAAATTTTTCACCTTTTTAGCTGGAGGTTTTGCTGTATAACAAAGGTTTATTTTTATGTTACTTGTAACAACAGGAATAACATTTGCTACTCTCTTATTCAGAAGGTGGAAAATTCCTCGGAATTTTACTCAGTGACTTAAAGCTTAATGGAAAGGGGGGAGAATTCATAAAAATTTCGATTTTAGTCATTTTCAGTTTTCATGACATAAATTTCGTGAAATATAAAATAAATGAATCCTTATTAAATACTACTTTAATTATCTATTAGTTAAATAAATTAAAATAAGCTATGGCATGAAAAAAATTTGCTCACGTTTTCAATTCAATTAAAAAATTCGATAAATAAGAATTTTTTTAAAAATTACACTGATATAATTATTACACTGATAAAAGCTTAAATTTTGCAGTAAATAATTTTGGGCAAAGAAATGTTAAAACATTTGTTACTCTCGTATTTAGAGGGTGGGCAAATTCATCATAATTTTATTCAGTAGATTTTACTCAATAGAAAGGGGGGGAAATTCATATAAATTTCAAATTAAGTCATTCTCAATTTTCGTGAAAAGAAATTTTGTGAAATATATAATAAATGAATTCCTATTAAATACTACCTTAAATGAATACAAATTCAACGAACATACATAGTAAAATTTTCCCCAAATTCTGAAATTTATACAGTAAATTAACTGTCGCTAATATGAAAGAATAATAGAAATTTATTAAATCTTTATAATTGAATATGGAGCTAATTAAAGAATAAAACAATTCATACTTTGATTGAGCTTTGGAAAAATCTTCTAAAACAGAGACCATCTGAACATGGCTAAGGACTGGTAAAATATTTCTTGTGGCTTCCAAACTTGTATGTTTCAAGCAATCAAATTGTGTTTGTCTGCAAAATAAAATAATAATAACTAAGCTATAGTTTTAATTGAATTTGAATAAAAATGTATGTGATTAACTAAAAAATCAAAACTTACAATGCTAAATCCATAAAGTTCTCAAACATACTAATATTATCTACAACAAGATTCTGTTGACTTTTATAAAAATATTCTTGAAAACCATGTGAAGAACTGAAAATAAAAAATTATATTATTATATTTTAATAAATATTAAACAGAATTGTGATAACAAAAATACTATAATAACACTAAACAATAAATTGAAACAGTTTTTATTCCTTTACAGGAAACTTTATGATCCTGCTTAAACAAAACATATTTAACAACACTTTTAACATTAACATCATTTAAAAGTCAACATTTGACAAAAACAAAAACATTTATCGAAATTAAAATAACACATCATGCACCATTTTTGAAGAAAACTCGCCTAGCTTTCGTGAATTTTCGAATTTCTGGGTTTCAAAGGTACCTAGAACCTTGAAAAGATAGAAGTGTGATAATTGCAAAATTAGTCATGGTTTTCATTGTCAATGAAAGTGTCTTTCAATTGCCTGTTAAGTTGTTATTGCATGCTGCGAAAATAGAGTAAGTGGCCAAGCCAAAATGTTGGTTTTGGAGTAAATGGTTAGTGCATGATATAAAAAAGCTACTTACAAATTCGTCATTTTCAGTTAAAAAATTTACCAACAGTCAAATTTGCTAACAACCAAAGCGAAAAAGGATTGCAATATTAGCTCATTAAAATCAAGTGTTTGTAAGAAACGGGTTCATGAAAAAATCCTAAAGGTTCATTCAAAGTTACTAAATTATAAATATAGCACTTACTTTATTTGTTTAATATTTCGGTACAATACAAAGGAAGTTAGTTAATTTGCTTTGAACAGTCTTAATGTCTCTTTGTTGTTATTCTTCTTCTTCTCATTGGCACGGCAGCCCAGGATGGGCCTTGGCCTTCTCAACAAGCCTATGCCAAGACATTCTTCCCTTAGCCAAGATTCTCCAGTTTATTATCTTTAAAACCTGTAGGTCTTTTTCAAGGCAGTCTAAAAATCTTAGGCTTGGTCGTCCTCTTTTTCTTGTACCTGTTGGCCTGGCACTGAAAACTTTTTTGGTTGTCCTGCTATCCTCCATTCACATAATGTGGCCTGCTCATTTAATCCTTTGAATTTTGATTACTTTAATGACATCAGGTTCTTTATATGCTTTGTAAAGTGTTTGATCTTCTAAACCAGGTACCGTTTTTACTTATTCCACCAAAAATGCTTCGCAGTATTTTCTCTCTCAAGTCTAGCTATTATATTTTTGTTGTGCTATTGCTCTTCATAAAATTAATGGTGCAAAAAACATCGTCCTTTGTAGCCCTGCTTTCGAAAAAAGTTCAAACGTTTGCTGGATTTATGGCTCATCACTAACATTCAGTTGTCTTCAAAATGTTAAACAAATTTTCATGGCTCTTTAATGGTGAGTTCAACTGTATAGATTTTTCATCTATAGTACAATGTTCATGTTGTACAGCATTATTATATAATGATTATAACATTAATATGAATTGTACAGTATAAATACATAATCAAGTTACCTTTCAATAATTGGCGAATTCCATTGCCCCATCCTCCAAGCTGCTTCACTTTGATATTCAACTACTTGAGCTGGAATTTCTTCTGAATTTAGAGAATGGATACAATTCTGAAGAACTGAATTCAAATGACTTTTTTGCAAAGCCTAAAAATAAATTTTAAAAAGCAAAAAATTTATACTTACAACAGTTAGAAAAAATAATTTTTTTAAAGGCAATTTTCAGAAAATATTATATGAAGTTTCTTTGGAATTTCATTGGAACATTCATTATAAATTTATCACAAAAATTAATAATAAGCTATTAAAGTTCATAAACATACAACGGAAGATTTTATAACATAACAACACAGAATATAAATCTCCATTTAATTTTATTATTAGGAAAAATGTATAGCTATATCTCTATTTATAATTTTGCTATATTTTTACAATATTGCAGTAAAATAATTTTATAAAATAATTCGAATTACTAAATAAATAATAGATTACTGATAGGACCTAAATAATATTATTGATTTAAAAATCATTATTGATTTTTTTAAAAAAAATCTTTTCCTTTAAAACCTGTAATAAATTCACTGTGAAACACCATTTGAGAACCTATATTTTATTGTACCAAATTATTCAAAAATTCACTAAGTGAAAGAGCCGACCGTCCTGTGTAAGTCAGGGAACTGGCCTTGCATCAGAAAGGTTCAGAGTTCGAATCCTGGGCAAGGCATGGATGTTCTTTCCTTCTCTGTACTATCTGTCCTTACTGTAGGAGCAACGTTGGCCCACCTAATATGGAGCCTCTGTTAGAGTGGCCAACAAATCGGCCCTTCAGATGCCTGTATGACAAAAGGTCATTCTCCAGGGAGGCTTTGAAAAAAGAAAAAAAAACTAAGTGAAAGATATCATACCTGAAGAACTTCTAAATTTGCACAGTTCATATCACTAATTTTCAGCAGTCCATCAAAATTTTTCTCTACGAAATAACTATGCTTCAAAATAGCTTGGCTATCATGTGCAACAACTTCACAACCACTAATGGCATCAGAATCTCCAATATTTGAATATGTGTCAAGCAATATATCATATATTAGATGAGCTTTATCTTTCCCTTGAGACCCAATGTAAGACAATGGGGAAAATTCTAAACTTCCTGACGAATCTGAGTGGTCAACTGATTCAGAATTTCTATTTTTCTCCCTAGAATAAAGAGAAAAATAAATTGATTTTTAAAAACTGTAAATAACACAGTAATCCTAGTTATGATCAATATGAGAAATTATTCAGGTATCTAGTATTCATAAAGACATTACACTAATCATCAAAGGAGTCTGAAACTTAATTTTATGAGCAGGTTTACCTCTGGAGTTCATAAAACAGAAAGCTCCCTTACATCATTCTGTGCAGGACAGTGTTGTGGTAACTGTTAAATTTTTTTGCTACACTTTTATTTTTGATCTATCTTAATTGTCAGAAAATAAATTCAGGTTAGAGAAACGTCAGAAACCATAAAGTCATAAAATGATAACTAAATAATCAATAAGCAATAAAATAGTCAATAAGTAACTACGAAAAATCAATAAAATTCTATTATTGTATATTACTTAATGAATACTTATCTTACAAAAATTTAATTAAAGACAAAATAATTGCTGAAGAAAAATATGATTAAAAAACTCAGATACCTAACGAGATATATCTTTAAAAAGCTTTGAATTTTAAACGTTGTAAACATGTTATACAAAAAAGAAAAGCCTTTTCAAATAAAAATATTACAAGCATAGATTTTTTAAATTAACCTTCATAACAAACAATAAGTTTAAGCAATAAATAGTAACAATTTAAAAGTTTGCTTTTTTTGAAGCAAAGTTGTTTGTCACAAAGTTTGTAATTTTGAAGCAATAAGTATCCAGTTTATAAATATATGATAAATCATGTATCCAAAAAACTACAAACTAAAAATGACAAATTTATGTTATTTTTGTAAAACACAACAAAATATGTTTTACAAAAATAAATATCAAAACAAGATGTGAAAGGAGAGAATTAACTTCAAAAAAAGAGGAAGAAATCAGGTTAAAATTGGGCATTTTATTTTTCCAGCGTATAGAAATAAAAAGATAAGAACCTCATTGAGTTGCACCAAAGTTCAGTATAAAGTATTGCTGTGAAATATGCTGAACAATATTGAGCTGCTTGAGCCACTTCTAAGAAGCTAATTTCTATCCAAAGATCCTTCATTACATTACGCTCTGAGTTGGATCTAAAAAAAATTCATACATACGTTTAAACATTTTTAAATATTAGTTTAATCTGGAAAAGCTTCATTTCGCATTGAATTGCACCATTAATAATCTTATTATAATGAAAACAATAAAACAATTAGTACATAACTGTTCAAATAATCATTGCTGGATCATACAGAAAGCTTAACTCAATAATGATAATTATCAAAATAAATCATTCAAATACAGCCTATTTAAAATTTTTCTTATTTTTATTCCAAGCAAATAAATGAAGCTTGCAAATAAAAGTAATACAAGAATAAATACATAAAATACATATTTAAAGTGCTTAAAGAAAGGGAAAGTGGATTTGCATATTTCAGTAGTAATTTATACATTGTTTCTGTAAAAAATTCATGCAATCATCTAATTTAAAACATTCAAGAACTGTTATGCTCTCAATTACAGGGTATCTGCTACATTTTAGATTTTCAAATTCATGACTTTTCATNAACTAAAAAAAAAAAAAAAAAAAAAAGAAAAAAAGAGAAGTAGTAGTACAAATTTTAATACAAAAAATCCCTTTTCTTTCTGCATTGATCGAAATTTATTGAAATTGCATTAATGAAATTGATCGAAATTTTTTAAGAAAAATTAAACAATGGGTGATTTTTGTAACTCAGAGCAAGTGGATTGCATTCACAATCGTTTCAATTTTTAAATTGTAAAAATTATTCGAGTGCTGTTATTCGTAACAGTCCAAACAAACTATATGACTTATTTTTTTATTTTGTATATAAGCTGGGGATAGCTCCACTGTCTAGTGTTGAAACCAAATGAGCTTTTGAAACTCTTTCCATACATAAAAACTTCATCATACACATTTTTTTGGTTAATTTAAATTAGAGGTGAATAACGATTCAGCAATAAGAAAGAATAAATTAATCCAATTAGGTTTAATAGATTATTTCAGAGCCGTCACTAATAATATCACTGGATTACAAAAACAGCCGCCTTTTAAAATCAAATCTGAAAAAACATAATTATAACAATTAAACCTTTCATTTTATAGAATCATAATCGTTTATTAAAATCAAATTTTTACAGGCCACATAATTGAAATAATCAGACAATGTTTTTTCTTTCTATTAATTCATGTTTTGAAATATAAAAATACCAAATATCATTGTGCTTTCTACAAACAAAAAGAACAAAATTACAGGTGCAGAATACATTTTTTAAGTAAATTAAAGGGTGAGAGTTAAAAAATTATGAAACCAAGAGTGTAAAGGAATCTAAATGAAAACTATTGATACATTAAAAAGGCAATAGAATGCTTATTAATCATGTCAATAATCATCACTCATTCAGTAAGGTAAATCTATCCTCAATTACAGAAAAGCGCTAGATTTTAAAATGAATTTTACAGCAAAGAAAAGGAAATATTGAAAGCAATAAAAACTTATTAACTTTCAAACCATCTTAAATTTTTTTGATAATCTAACAAACATGGTAGTATTTTTAAACCCTCCTCTGAAATAAAAAATTTAGCTCATGAATTTAAATGTTAAATGTAGATTTTATATTTATACTAAGAAAATGTTTCCTAAGTTTAGACATTCCGGTTCACAAAATCACCTATCATTAAATAGAACATTCTCAGTTCAAATCTGAGTTTAATAGGCAATAGGCATTGCCCCAGTAGCAGAATTTTTTCGAGCTATCTGCGACTAATCTAATCTCTCTAGCATAAATACCTTTCTGCAAAATACTTTTAATTATAACAAAAATGTATGTTACTAATTGAAAGTAGCAAATACGCTGTGTTTACAAAAAAGACTATATAAAAATTTTTTAAATTGAATAAGTAATAATTTTTTATTCTAATATTATAGATAATATTGTTACATCTTGTTGGGAGAAAAACTCACAAATTATTTGTGAACTTTTCCAATTTATTCAATTTTGTAAATAATCATCACAATAAAAAAAGCAATTAAAAAATCATGAAATCCATAATAAATGTAAAAAAGATCGACGCCGAAATCACGTGAATCGGACTCCTAAAACATGTGTTTCGTTTCAAGATTAGGTTGTTGCAACAAATAATATCGTATAAATAATATCCGATTTAAAAACTATGGAGAAATCAATAGCAATAACAGTCAGAAATTCAATAGAATTATAGCCTTAAAAAGTACTCAAATGCACGATTTGAATTTTCCATATTGTTTGAAATATATCGGGATATTAAAAATAAACGTGAAAATCAATATCAATAACTGCCGAAAATACAATCGAAAAATTACATCGATTTACGATACTATCGGCGTACATTGAGCTTGTCAAAAAGTGATTATCTAAATGCATGATTCAAATATGTTTAAATTTTTGTAGAAAAGAAAACTGAATTTTTTTTATTTTTCCAAAGAAAAGTTTTTCTGCAAGAACTCAGTAACGTTCTGCGACAATGTCGCCGTGTCGCTGCTATTCTGCCACGGGGGGCGTTGCAATAAAATATTGTAATTATGTGGAGCATATTACAATAGTAACATGCTCCTTAGTTTTGTTTTCTGTTACATAGTGTTGTTTTCATAATGTAGTCAACATAGTGTTGTTTCTGCTAGAAATTAACAATATGAACTTCAAAAATATTGTCTATTGTCTACAGCATACAAAATAGCTTTAAACGTATAGTTTATTGTCAAAATAATAATAAGTAAGCAGTATTACAAGTGCAAATGAACTTTCCTGTTCAATTTTATTCATCAAAAGGTAGATAAAAATTTTCGAAAATAAACAATTGCCTAAGCATTAATAAACAATAGCCTGTAATACTCACCGTTGTTTTGGGTTCAACCACAGATAATGTAGTACAGACAACATTGTCCGTACTGATTGCTTAGAAAATTTAACATCTGCAGCTGGTGCTATAAAACAGAATAAAAGTTGTAGAATTTTACATTCTTAATTTATATGTTCAAGTATGTTAATATACACTATGTTAAGTATGTTTTATAAAATGCACATAATAGTTTCTAAAAAAATTGTAAAAACCTTTATGATTATTTAAAGTTTTATATAAAGATTTAGAGTTTGTAATAAAATAGTTAGATATGTTTCTTTACCTAACCTTCTAGATCTTCTAAGGGTAGGAAACCATATTCCGTCCTGATTGCTTTACTCAGGGATGAGATTAGCCAAAAGGCAAAAAAGCTGAATTTCCCTGATAGTAAATTTTAAGCAAGCGCAACCCTTTAATAATAAATTACAGACAGTTTAAGGTAATAAATAATGTGTTGACATACAATTGTGTTCTAATCTATTATTATATATGTGATTACATTGATACTTAACATTTAGTGAAAATAAAAATTACCTATTGAAAAAATAAAGCTGGAAATTATATTTTTCCTCAGTTCAGATAAGAGACAATTATTACTTGAAAAACTACCTGGTTTAGCAAATTAAAACTACTGAGAATACGCATTAATATTTCATTTCTCTTAATAAATACTGTTATGTGATTTATAGCAAATATATCAGTAATATTACTTTTTAAATTATATTGGAAAAAAAAAACTTTAACAATGGACCGAATCATTATGTTCATATTATGGTCTAATCTAACTAGAGCCCTCTGAAACATATCAATAACAGTGAAGTAGAAATCCTTAACATACAAAAATTGCTACTTTAGTTTGAAAAATTACATGACAATCAACAACTGTTTAGATAATTGTTTTTTTATTTCATAAGAATTTTGCATTTTATAGCATAAATAACAGCGATTATAAATAAAATTTTGATGATACGTTAATTAACTCTTTTTCCAAAAAAAAAAAAAAAAAATTAAAAAAAAAAAAAAA